TCAATTTGTAATTTAATTCCTTAAATTCCTGAAATTTAATAGTTGGGGACTAGTAATTGACTAGTCAACCCCAAAGTCAAAGTTGTACATTGAGCTTTGCAAGGAGTTCCCTTGTTCCTTACACTTCCTTATGTTAGTAAGGGTATTCTTGACCTTTCACTTGTTGTTGGTATTGTAACCTAACCTAGTAGACCACCTTCATTCTCTCCTTACACTTTCTAAAAATCTAGCTCCACCTTCTCTCTAAAAAGGTGAGTAGCTTTTCTTCCAAGACAAGTTGGAGCCTTGCCAAAACTTCAAGAGTTGCTTCCAAGATTCAACCTTTCTTATATTTAGGCATCTAAGAGGGTAAGATCTAAGTTCATCTTGTGTTTTTGGTTTTATCTAAGGTGTCTTTTCTTAAAGATAGGATCTTTATGATCTTTTGGTATGTTCTTGAAGTGGGTTTGGAAGGTGAGCCTTGTGAGGAGCTTGTTGAGGTGTAAAGTGAAGTCTTTAGTCTACAAGAGGTAACTCATGCTCTACAAAATCTATTTTGCTTACCTATATGTGATTTCTTGGATTCTACATGTGTTTTTGCTATGAGAGTGTTTATGCATTGCCTTGTGAAAATGCATATCTAGAGCTTGTGTTTAGGGTTCATTTGTGCCATTGCTTGGCACTTCCTTTGATTCAAGTCATTTTGTTGTATTTGAAGAGATTTGGCATGTTTTGGACTTGAATTTGAGTTTGGAGATGAAAATCCCCGAAGGGATTGTTTTTGGTACAGGACGTATACCCGCGGGCGGAACGGCGGGCGGGGCACCACCCGTCGCCTACCCGTAGGTACAAGGCCTCGTGGGAGATGTTCCCGCGGGCGGAACCACGGGCGGGGCACCACCCGTGGGGAACACTGTGGTGTTTGATTGGGATTTGTTCCCCGTGATTCTTTTGATTCGGTATTTGGTCCGTTGACTTCCCGATGTTCTTTTGTGGAACTATTTGAGTGTCTTCTTGATGTTTCGTATGTCTAGAACTATGTGGTAGGTATCCATGTAAGCCTTTGGTGTCTTGAATCGTGTTAAGTGTTCAACATTGTGTTTCGTTGAACCGTGATGGGTCTTGTGTGTTCTTCGGAACTATGTTTGGTTTACCCGTTTGATAAGCATGCTAGTTTGGTGTTTAAATGCTAGTGTGTGTGTTGTTTGTACCTTCCTATTGGTTGATGATAACTTGTGTTATTCATCGTTGTTGTTGTTGGGCTGTGACCCATTCCTTGATTGAGTATAGTTTCGTATCTTCGTTGTGATCCGTTGATTGATTCCTGTTGTGGTGTGATGTGTGAGTGGCTTTACCTGGATTGCACGATTAGTGGTATGGGACACTAGTCACTAAGGTATTACAGCGGTCCTCGTTGTGGCCGTGATGCGATTATGGAGTTTGTGGCCTTTGTGTAAGGTTCACGTGTTTATTTCTGGGATAACATGTGTTATCCAGGGCATGTGTTGCCATGTGTGATCGGTACCCTCGTGTACTATGAAATCGGTGGTTTTGTTAGAGGGACTGTTGGAGGGGGAACGACGGTTCCCGGGGGAATAAGGTTGGACTTGGTGTACAGGGGCCTTGGAGGTAAAGGTTGGAACTAGATATAAGGTTGGGGGTAGCCATAAGGTTGGAACAGGGCATAAGGAAGGCATATCAACTCGTGATGGGTGATGTCACGAGGGCTTGTGTAGCCGTGGCTGTGTGTTCTCTTCTTGTGACGTGTGTAGTCACAAAGGCAAGTGTTGCCTTGGCATGTGTTGCCGTGGGTGAGTCTTATTCCTTTGCGTTGTGCATGTCGGGTTTTGATCTATTGTGTGATGATAGATCATACCTTGAGATTTCTTGTGAGTCGTGTTGTTCCTTGTGGTCTTGGGATGTGTTCCCATGTTGTTGTTGAGAGTGGTGAGTCTTGTGTTGACTATTACTCCTGGTTTTGTACTTATATATATGTATTCCGTTTCGAAAATGGCTTTACAACTTATATCTTATCTATGTATGATATTTCACATGTATTGGTGGGTTACCAGCATTATTCGCTGACCGGGCGTCGTCCCATGTTTTATTGTGTTCTTTCAGGTGATGTCTAGACGAGTGCGCGGTCTAGTGCTTGCAAGAATAGCTTCTCCCTCTTTGTTTTATGGCATGTGTGCCAGTTTAGATATAGCACTTTGAGACTATGGGTTTAGTTGTAAACATTGCAGATGTTGCCATAGCATTCATCCTTTCGGTGAACGTGGCATAACATCCCGTGTTTTGATATATGTCTATCTATTTATCTTTCAGTCTTCCGCTGTGTTGTTGTTTAGTTCAGTTATCTGCATGTTTAATGCTTTTAAATAGCATATTTTTAGGGGGTGTTACAGTTGTTGCATAGACAAAATAATTCTTTCATCAATGCAATTAATTATACGCAACAATAAAGCCTTATCAGTATTGCCCATTCTGTATCACCTTCAAGACATGCTTTATCTAAATGGTCACCCTTACACATACCATCTAAATTTACCATAATCAGAAATTTTCATTCTGGAAAATTAAACCCATCTAAAGCTAGGATTACGTCGATTAATTTAGATGGGGTAGAAATAACAGTAATATTTCTTTCTTGTGCCATTTAGCCTTAACCCAAAGCAAAGACAAACTTCCCCGAGAATAAGCAAACCACAAAACCAACAAACGAAACAAAACCCAAATAATAACACTGCATGCGTACCTTTCTTTAACCAAAAGAACCAACCAGATCAGAATCTCTCAACACACCATACTTTCCTAGACTCAGCGTGACGAGGCGAGACCACTGACACAAAAACCATTCGGCGACGTCACCGGAAACAGCCGCACGCGCAGGCGCGTGGCGTTAGACCTCAAGGTTGGCGGCAACGCGTAGCTACTATGACGGCGGTCGTACTCCTCTTCCCGGCGTCGCCACTGCTTCCCAAACCCAACCCAGGTAACCACTCTCACTAACTCGGCTCTGATACCATGTTATCTGTGGGAAGGTAAAACCAGTGTACTGTATTTCATACTCTATTGCTATACAGAAGACCTAGTGGCTATATATATATATATATATATATATATATATATATATATATATATATATATATATATATATATATATATATCTACTATACTAATAAGAGCCCAAGAGAGTTGGGCCTATAATGGGTAGAAAAAATGGCGGTCACAGATTTTAATCAAATGAATGGCTCAGATTGATTAAAAGATTGATAAGATTTAAATTTTACACTAAAATTTCCTAAAATACCCACACACCGTTACTAATTCCGTAAAATTTTAAGAATTGCCGTTAGTTCACCGTTAACTTACTCATTGATTTCAATAAAAAAAAAAAAAAGGTCTTAGATTCGAACCTCATCCCAATCAAAGTTGGCATAATTAGTACTCTATTTTACTCTTATTAAATTATATAAATAATAATTTAGTAGCTACAACAAAAAATTATAGATGTGCATTTCTTTAATTTAGAATTATGTGTCCACAATGCCTTTATTCAAAAAAAAAAATTATTCATTATCAATAAATTAAATAAGAGAAATAATTGTATTAGTTATATTGTCTTTATTTTTCTACAATATAAAAATTCTTTATATTCAAATTTATTAATTGATTATATTCGCTACATTGTCCTTACAATGTCTTAATTCAGTGAAAAAAATTATTCATTATCAATAAATTAATTAAGAGAAATATTTTCATTAGTTATATTGTCTTTATTTTTCTCAAATGTAAAAATTTTTACATTCAAATTCATCAATTGATTATATTCACTACATTGTCTATTATCTTTTTTGTGCATTATTTTTCTAATTAAATATCAAAGTTATAATACAAAATAATGCTATATATTTATTTACCAAGTATTTTATTAGTATCATGAAAAAATTAAAAAAATATATAATTAATAAAGCCAACCATATTAACTACTTGAGAGATTTTGTGACAAAGAGAGTATTCAAATCACACAACAAATTGAAGTGAGAACTACCCTGCAATGTCCTTGTTTGACAATCAGCAGTTAGCGGATTTGACCAACGAATTTATTTAATTATTAACATTGGGTAGAAAATATGACCGCCAAATTATTAAATCAAATGAATGGTTCAAATTGTTCAGGTTTTAATTTTTTAAAAAATTTTTCTAATTTATCCTTAATTATATGATTATCCATTTAACTTTTCCGTTAAATACCGTTAATTCACCGTTAGTCTAATTCTAATATTAACGTCTAATATAGAATTATAATTACACCATTAATCTAATTCTAATATTAAAGTCTTAATAGAACTTAACCACAAATCCTAATGTCGAAATCTCCTCAAACAATATTAGTATATATTTAATATTTTATGCCCTAATTTTTATTTGTTCTCCCTTATGTCCCGTATTTGGTTTCAACCATACCTATACAATTATTTTATTGACAATTATAATCAATCTTGACTATATTATCTTGCATTTGTAAACTTAGAATTACCTATTTAACCCGCACGGGCTTAGCTCAATGGTTTAGTGGGCAGTATTTAGGAGAAGAGACCAAGGTTTGAACCTCGGCGGCGGCAATGCGGGAATTATGTCCAAAGTGGGCAGATTCCTTGTTCGCACCGGCATTTGGTCCTGTCTGCTGAACCATTGAGTCACCGTGATTTACAACTTCCTACAATGCTCTGTGGGGGGCCCTTGGGGTAGGGGACTCAACTTTTGGGAGAAGAATTACCTATTTAAAGTACTTATTTAAATATAATCTTAATTGCCTAAATATACTTTAAAGTACTTATTTAAATATAATCTTAATTGCCTTAATATACTTTAAAGTACTTATTTAAAAAAAAAAAACATTGGACATTATCCCAATCGCGCAATGCGCGTAAAAAACTAGTATATATATATATATATATATATATATATATATATATATATATATATATATATATACAAAGATATGGAAATGCTACCATAGAATTCAAACAAAGGAAAAATTAGGCAAAGAGAATAGCTCTAACTGCCACCCCATTTTCTCTAACACCCTTTATTCTTCTAACAAAGATAATATGATTAGAGATAATTGTTGATCATTCACTGAACAATAGGATTACAAAGTTTATCTAATAACAACTCTCTAACTAATCCTGACTAGTAGTCTATCTATTCTAAACACCACATATATTACAACCATATAATATAACTATAATAATAATACTAATAAATATGGTATTTATCAAAATCTCACATAACTTAATTAAAAATTTAGGGGAAATAAAATTCTCTTATTCTATAAATGTGATTAAAAAATACTAAAAATTATTTTCAGAAATTTCACAATATTTACATTCTTATGATGATTCTAACAAAATGTATAACATTTCAATATAGTATATAAATCCATGTTATATAATTTGAACCAAACTACTCCTATAAAATTTATCATAAATGCATGCATATAAAATCGAATGCATAAAAATGCAAATGAAACTAAATAAAGACAACACATAAATTCTCCATGCAAGATCTAAATTTCTAACAAAAATTTATATGGTATTGATCAATATTGATACCCTTTTTACTCAATATAACTATATAAGGGGTTATACTTAGTAATATGACATATCAACATATCTCCCCTTATAGTATCCATGTGCGATGAATGTAAATTCTATTACTTTTTGGGGAACATTTAGTGGTCAATTTGTGGTTGGATTTGCTTCATCTGTGCTTAAAATGTCTTGAAATGTGATAAATTGTGTTTAATGACTAACTTTTGAGGCATTTTTGTATTTTGTAGGAAATAGGTCCAAATTAAGAATAATTTGAACAAAATGGAGCAAAAATATGATGGTAGCAAAAGTTTGCTATTACGAGCTAAGTTACGCTTGTAACGCTCAGGATCAGAAAGGTCATTCCAATTACTACGAACGTCATTAAGCTCATAATAGATGATCGTAGCAAAGAGCACCGTAAAACTGATTTTGTTGTTACGAGCAGCATTACGCTCGTAACAGGCTGCATAATGAGAAGCATATGTGAGCCATTTATGTCACTATAAAGGGTGTTACGCTTGTAATGAGTCACGTAGCATGTGGCATTAGAATCTTATCCTTGTTACGAGACACGTTACGCTCGTAACAGGCCTTGTAATACATGCGTATCCAGGAGCTATAAAAGGGAAACGTTAGAAATTTTGAAGGTGTTTTTTCTTTTCATAGGTTTTTTTCCTTAGATTAGTTTGGGAGTAACTATTTCCTCTTACTTTTCCAGCACATTTAGATACAATTCCTTTTCAATTTCAATTTATAATCAATACCTAGATTTACTTTCAATTGCATCATTGGATCAAAGGATTGAAGATTTCAAGTTCACTATAGATAATTTCTTATTCATTTTCATTTCATGCAATTTACTTTGTACTTTGATTATCTTGTTTTGATATCTTTTGATAGTTATGGATTGTGCTTTTATTATTGAATTCCTTGCTATTTCATTTCCATTATGTGTGAGTATATTCCTTAGAAAGGTGATAGGGATGTAGATTAGATTTTTGGAGATGTGCTATTGAATTGGCTGAGTAGGGGATGTAGATGAGACTTGATGTGGATGATGTTGATCAACATAATTGAGTCCTGATTAGGAAGCGACACCCTAATCTAAACTCAAGGGGTTGATCGATCATGTTCAGTCTTTGAGAAAATGGGAGTATTAGATGTTTAGAACACCAAGTGTTCAATGAAACACCCCTTAGCCATTTATGATGCTACAGAATGTCCTTAAGTGCTTGAAGGGTATGAATTATGAAATGACATTGAAAAGGTTTTCTCCTGGTTAATATAATATATATGACATCTTTCATCTAATCAATTGATGACTCTTTCTCTTGTTCCCGATTCAATTGCATTTCCCTCATCCTAATCGGAGTTCCTATTCCCCTCTGCTTTTATCTTCATTATTATTTTATTCCTTTGTTATTGTTGTTACTATTGCATTCTCTAAACATTTGCTTGGGGTATATTTCCATTTGAAGTGTTAGTACTTTGTGCTTGAAAAACAAAACGCTCAACTCCTATCGTCAATTGTTGAGAACGATATTCGGTGTGAGAATACCCTCTCACTTGTAATTCAATTAATTTAATTAATTTTGAATCAAACTAATTGAATTTTTGAGTTAATTCCAGCAATGGTCCTTCGACTATATTGATTTTTCAAAATTAGTCCTCGACTTTTAATTTGGACAATTTACGTCCCTTGACTTTCTTTCCAATTGAGGTCCTTTCGTCAGATTACGGTAAAGTGGAGTTTAAATGAAAGCGTAAAGTAGTCATTTATACGCGAATATGAAGAATTATACATTAGGCAGATGAAAAAAACCAATAACGCCTCCACTAAGGCTCGAACTCACAACCTTCCAAATAAAAATCCAACCCGGGTACCATTAAACCACATAGTCTTGGTCATTAATAACAATGTAATTTCACACAATATTCATTTATTTATTTTCAAAAAAAAATATTCATTTATTTAATTATAGTGACAAAGTCATTGTAACAACTAATTACTTGTCACAATTCTCATAAATTAGTAACAAAATTTGAAATCAACACAATTATTGTCACAATATAGTAATTTTTGTTACGAAATTATAGAGCATCACAAATATTTGTAACAATTTTATCACAAAAAATGACAATAGTAGTGGCAATAGTTTTTTTTCTCACAATTGTTTCTCATTTCTAATGGTACTAACAAATTGTATTTTTATTGACAAAAACAGTTGTCACAAATATTATAAACAAGAGTGACCAACAACTATTTGTCACAAAAAGTACAGAAATTTGTGTCCACATTATATCGTCACAATTACATTCATTCCCGCCATAATTATAATGCCGACAAAATGCGCATACATTTAGTGTCAACAAATAGTAATAACGTATGTTACAATATTATTATTATTCTAGTAATAGTGACAACTTATTCGTAAGAAATACTTACTTGTCACAATTAACATATTATCAGTGACCAAAAAAAATTATCATAATTATCCCACACAATAGTGTCGAATTATTTTTTTTTTTGTCACAAAAAGAATATTATTTGTGACTAAATTACAAAGTGTCACAAAAAATTTGTCATTAAATGTCTTCATTCTTGTAATGAGACAACCTTTCACATAAAAACTACTTCATCACTATGCAATTAGCTAGGTTATTGTGTGTGGTTGTATCATACACGAAAAAAACCTGCACCCCATAGAAAAATACATATACTATACACACATCACTATGTTAGATAATAAATTTAGACTAACATGAACAGTAGTAAACGACTAACCTGCCTCGTTGCAGCGGAAGCTTTAGGATCGCCCGAATATCCCCAGCCATAGTTGTTGGTATTGTCTCTGGGATGGTAAACCTGCAGAATGGACATTAGTGTTTTGTCTACCACTTCTCTCCCGAATACGTGATGGTGCGTGTCTTCTGAACACGGGAGCTGTGGGAGGACTATTTTGCTTAGAAGCCTACATGCCATCAATGTAGGCAGATATTCAGTTAAAGCTTAACTGAATATCCTGAGTTGCCTAACAGACTAAGTCACTAACTGACTTAATATTCCACTTGCACCACAACCACTTAATTAATACAATATATTATAATATATTATATTAAGGAAAATACTTACATTCTCCCACTTAGTGCAAGTACTGGCACAACCTTCATTAAAGAACAAAATACATGAACCATAGTAATACGTCATCTACTAATCAAGTGAGTAATATCTCTATGATCACATGCATTTTAAATTCCCTAACTTAGGTTCTTTATGAACAAACCCTACGTTTATTCTTAGTCCCTTAAGGGATGTTTCTCAAAATATATTATGTGCACAACTGAAAGAAGAAACCATCCAAATTCACTGTATGATCTCTAAAATCTTAGAAGCATGCCTTAAGTAGAGATCTCTTAATGTTAGCATAATGCTAACTATATTCTATGACTTCTTTATAAGTTAACATAAATACTACCTCTAACAGCTAAGAGCTTGGAGTTGACACGTCTGTCACTCCCACTCATTAAGATAGCCAAAAGATAGTCAAGTCATAGAAACATTCCAATAACATAAACCATAAGGTCTAAGTCAATAATTTGGAATCTTAAACATACACCAACTTCCCAAATAATCTCAAGGTCCACCTCGAAATTAATTGAACATTACGAGTCTTATTATGTCTTACAAAATTGTTTTGAGCCTTACAAACCAAAAAAATGGCCCAGGATCAATTTTGAAGAAACTAAAGACTGTGTTAATTGCTAAAGAATTTATTAATTGGCAGTGCACCACAAGTTAAATGTTTTCGTTCCAATAAATTCATTAATATTGTTACAACATTTTCATAAATATGTTGTACAACCAAACGTTCAATGAAATGAACTTATGAATTATAAGAACAAAAGACTAAATTAATACTTGTGGAAACTTTTGGACTTATTGCTAGACGCACAATCCAATTTGGAATGTATGAAAACAACTAAATCCATCAACTTTAGTGGAGTATCTTAATGATCTTTTCTAAATGAACACTCCCACTGATTAAGATATTCTTTAGCCAAATTAATGATATAACACTCATAATGGATTTGACCAACTAAATAATGAAGATATAATTCCCCACCATTAGTTGGGCACACTAAATAATCAATATTTGGTTCCAATTATAGTCCAACTAAATGAATGATTCTCCACCATAGTTGGACATACTTAAAATAATAAAATACGCCTTCCAAAACCAAGTTGGAATTCGGCTCAGAAGATATATTTTATTATTGGAATCCATAAGAGGTATATCATACCACGCAACTTACTATAGTTAGTCCAAATAACCAAGTAAGCTTCGTGAAAAATAATTAAAGGGTGTATCTAAATTTTGGAAAGTGACTAAATACATGTTTTGCCAATGCAAACCATGAAACTTAGAAT